TTTGGACATGTTGTAAGGAGGGACAGGTTCTTGGAGAAGGACATCATGCTTGGGAGGGTGGACGGACAGCACAGGAGGGGAAGGCCCTCTATGATGTGGACTGATTCAGTGACTGGGGTAATTGAGACGGGAGTGTCCGAGACAGTGCGATTGTCACAGGACAGAGCAGATTTTAGGGCTGTTGTACATAGGGTCACTATGAGTCACAAGCTACTCGACGGCACATAGCAACAACAACAACAACATCAGCTTATGTATTCATTTGTAGATTAATGCTTGTTATTATTAATAGTACAAGATTGTGTACATAATAGTTTATGCTTTGGTTTTTCTTTATTACATGTATTTCACCTCTTTATGTCTTTTCTTTATTTAGTAATTTTGTACTCGTTATCCTTTAATGTATATTGTTTGACCCTTCACTTAACTTAATATGTGACTATTACCTAATTACTGAAGGACTCTTATGTTAACTCACTGGTACATGGTAAATAACCAACAAATTTTTGCTGAATAAGTAAACAGATGGAGGAAAAAATTAATAAATCCTTTAACAAGGCTGAATTCTTGATATTTCGATCAGTCTCTTTAAAAAGTGAGCTCTGGTGGCCTCATCTGTTGCCATGTTAATGCAAAGGCCATGTTTCTGGCAGTCTGAATCCACCAGCGGCTTCATGGGGAAAAGATGAACAATCATCTCCCATAATATTTACAGCCTGGTAAATCCAACAAAGGATCTGCAATAAGTTGATTCTAACTCAACAGCAATGAGCAAGAGCTTCTCTAAAAAAGAAAGACTTGGATGAACTGTTCCCGACTAAAAGAAGGGCTAGTCCTTAGAAAAAAGGACATCATGCTGGTACAGGTCAGAAAATGAGCAAAAGACCCTTAATAAGATAGACGGACATAGTGACTCGACCCGGGGCCTGGAGCATGTCAGAGATTGTGAGGACGGTGCAAGACAGCGAGGCACAGATCTGTTGTTCATAGCATCTCTCTGAGCTGTAGTTGACTTGACAGCACCTAACAGCAAACAAAATCAACATGTATGAAAATATTTTGTTAAAATTAGATATAATATACTTAAGACAGCAAATATTGATCACTTCCCATAAAACAAGCTTCTCTAAGAGTTTCATGTCTATGAACTAATTTAACCCACACAACTGCACTATGATGTTGGTACTAATATTATCCTCCTCCCTTTACTGAAAGGGAAACCGATGTGCAAAGAGGTTAATAAAAATTTTCAAGGGTTCACAACTACTGGCTTGTAGTGTCCAGGTTGAAAACCAAGTGGTCTAATTCCTAACTATTACACTGTATACTACATTCGCAAAAATCTGCATTCCCAAATTTAATGGGGGAAATATCAGAAGATGTGGTAGCACCTTCCATATGAGACTAACTGAGCAGAGCCAAGCATATGCACTCCTCAGAAAGGAGGACCAGAGTTCCTACTCAGCCTACTTTCTGAGACTATGGAGTGTTGATCTCCAGTCTCACTACAGATGAATACTCCAGGGTAAATGGAACGTGGTAGATACTTTATAGATACTGTCCCAAATCAAGGTGAATGTCAGGATCTGAATGGATAGGATACCCCACTAAGAAAGCAGGCAAGCAGGGTAACTTGAGCCAGATCTGGGAAGGTTCTTAATGTCAGGAAAGTGCAGACATGGAGAAAGTAAGTAGCCAACAGAGAAAGAAATCAGGGAACAAAATGTATATACCTTATGGTTAGGACTATGCCCCATCAGGGGATCTTGGGTGGGTGAAAAAAGTTTGAGCCAGTATGGCCTTGGTTGGAAATCAGAATCATTTGCTTAACAGCAGTGTGACTACTTTAGACAAGTTACTTAACCTCTTGTCTCCATCTTCTAGAAGCTTCCCCAAGCTACATTTCCTTGTAAAATGAGACAGTGGCATTTACCTCCCTAGAGTTAGAACAAATTAGACAAGAGTGAATACAAAGTTTCTTTGGCCCCTATGAATTTGTTAGCTACCACTGAGTCAGAACCGCCTGACAGCTGACCCTCTAGCAATTTTCAGGTGCTATAAATTGCATGCGAGGGGATTGCCCATCTTTCTCTCACAGAGCAGCTAGTGGATTTGAAACGTGTGCCTGTGAGTTGGCAGCACAACTCCTTACCACTAAGCCACCACAGCTAAAGAACTATAAGTTTCTTACTAATCATTTGTATTTTCATATTTTCTCTTAGAGTTGAGAAGCAAAAAGAAATTGAGAAGCTATGGTAAGTAGCTGTACTTATGGGATCTTCACCTTTCAGAGCTGCGGGCCTGCCTTCATTTCACCTGCAGCTTGAGCAGCCCCAACAGCTGACAGGCTTGTGTTTATGGCCTGGTGACACTGGCATTTTGCTAAAGAGAAATTCTGGAATAGAGCGTGGAAGAAACAGAAGTAGAGTAGACAAGAAGCATAGATGTGAGAAAGCTCTGTAAGAAAAGGTTCTCAGTAAAACAGCTTTTAAAAATGGCCAAACTCTCTACTACCACTATTTGTACCTACCGTGGTCCAGATATAAAGCATGTAACTGTGAGCAAACTCTGACAAGTCTCTCCTGTGAGCCCCATGTCCCCTGGTCGTGATTGGCTAAGTGGAGGGGAGCATCGTTATTTCTTCCTGGTCGCGATTGGCTAAGCGGAGGAGAGCATCTTTACTTCTGATGATTACTCACGTTCTAGCATTTAACACTGGCATTAGGAAGAAAACATAAAGCAGTCTCAGGTTATAATATCAAGTTTTAAAACATGTTGCAAAATTGTATTCTTAGTATTAAAAACTATATAATTTATCCTCAGTCTATTGTCAACATTTAGTCCAACCCCTCTTTGCCCCCACCCCATTTTAAGTACACTAATGTTATTGGTTTTGTGTACTGTCGAGTTGGCACAGACCCATAGCTAACCCTCCAGCAGGTTTTCAGAGGCAGTTAATTGCGGGGAGTGGGGGGGCGGGCAGATCGCCCATCCTTCTCCCGTGGAGCAGCCTAATGGATTCGAACCATTTGCCTCTGGGAGTGCAGAGTAACATTTTGCCATTAACATTAAGCCACAGAGTTCCCTAGTACACTTCTTGTTGTTGTTAAGTACCGTAGAATCATAGACGACCCATACTAACCCAATGAACTAAAGTCTTGAACACAAAACTTTCATCTTTTCTCCAAGTTCACAGAGTTTCTGGAGGCAAGCTTTTTTTTTTTTTTAAGTGGATGCCACTCCCGCTTCCAAGAGTACACTTGCTACTTTGTGTAATTAATGATTGGAAAGTTAAGAGTTGACAGCTGCCATTTCTGGATTGTGAAAATGAAGTTTGCTTTCCCGCGTTCTTGTACAGCAAGCAGGGTGGCGCTGCTCCTCCAGGGCTCACCTGTGTTCTCTCTCTCTCCCTCGTCTTGGCATCCCCAGGGCAGGGCACGCAGGCCTCCACCCGGCCAGCACAGGCACTGTGAGGGATGCTTCAACCGCCACTGCCACGTTCCTGTGGAGCCCAGTGTCTCCTGCCTGGTGATCAACTGCCGCCTGCTCTGTGGCGCCACCTTCCACATGTGCAAAGAGGCGGAACACGAGCTCCTCTGTCCCCTGGAGCAGGTTCCGTGCCTCAACTCCGAGTACGGCTGCCCGCTCTCCATGTCCCGCCACAAGCTGGCCAAGCACCTGCACGTGTGTCCCGCCAGCGTGGTCTGCTGCTCCATGGAGTGGAACCGCTGGCCCAACGTGGACTCGGAGACGATCCTTCACGAGAACATCATGAAAGAAACCCCCAGCGAAGAGTGTCTGGACACAGCCCTGGCCCTCCACGACCAGAAGATCCTCTTTAGATCCTTGAAGATGGTGGAGCTTTTCCCAGAAAGCAGAGAGCCCAGGGAGGAGGAGGAGACGACGCTGAATGGCGAAGCCACTTGGGAAGAGATGGGAGGAGCAGTGGGGGGACCCTGTTTGGGACCTCGAGGCTCTGTGTCAGCAGCTAATGGGGAGATGGCTGAGCTGAGTCAAGAAGAACGAGAAGCATTAGCCAAAACCAAGGAAGGGATGGACCTGGCCAAGTTTGACAAGTGGGAAAATATGTTCAGCAAAGAGCATGCAGCTTCTGCTTTAACAAACTCATCTGCCAGCTGTGAGAACAAGAGCAGGAACGGTTCAGCAGAAGAACAGATTCCCAACAAGAAGGACATGGTGAATGGAGAGAGCACAGCCAACGAGAAAGAAGCACAGGAAAACCAGCAGCAGCAGCAGCAGCAGCAGCAGGATTTTCAGGCAGCTGTGGAAAAGACAGGGCTTGCCCCGTGGCAGGATGGTGTTCTAGAAAGACTGAAAACAGCTGTGGATGCCAAGGACTACAATATGTATCTGGTGCACAATGGGAGAATGCTTATCCACTTCGGGCAAATGCCCGCTTGCACACCTAAGGAGAGAGACTTTGTTTATGGGAACCTGGAGGCTCAGGAAGTTAAAACTGTTTACACTTTCAAAGTTCCCGTGAGTTACTGCGGAAAGCGGGCTCGACTTGGGGACGCCATGCTGGCTTGTAGGCCAAGTGAACACAAGGCAGTAGACACTTCGGATTTGGGGATCACTGTGGAGGAACTGCCAAAATCAGACCTCATCAAGACTACCCTCCAGTGTGCATTGGAAAGAGAACTCAAAGGTCACGTCATCTCCGAATCCAGAAGTATCGATGGCTTGTTCATGGATTTTGCCACCCAGACCTACAACTTTGAGCAGGAACAGTTTTCCTCGGGGACGGTGCTGGCTGACCTCCTAAGTGCTGCTGGTCCAGGGGGACTCCACGTGGAGCTCCACAGCGAGTGTGTGACCCGGAGACACAACAAGAGCAGCTCCGCCTTCACTTTCACCTGCAACAAATTCTTCAGGAGGGATGAATTCCCCCTACACTTCAAGAATGTCCACACAGACATCCAGTCATGCCTCAATGGCTGGTTCCAGCATCGATGTCCCCTAGCCTACTTGGGATGTACGTTTATTCAGAACCATTTCCGTCCCCCAGGGCAAAAGGCAAAAGTGATCTACAGTCAAGAGCTCAAGACCTTTGTCATCAAACCAGAGGTTGCTGCAGAGCTGAGTGAGGGAACAAAGATTAGGCATCCCTCGGGACATGGGAAGAAAAGCCAGGATTCTCTCACCAGCCTGCCCCTGGAAGTCTTACAGTACATTGCAGGGTTTTTAGACAGCATCAGCCTGTCACAGCTCTCCCAAGTGTCTGTGCTTATGAGGAACATTTGTGCCACTTTGTTACAAGAGAGAGGGATGGTCCTCCTGCAGTGGAAGAAAAAGAGGTACTCCCATGGCGGCACCTCCTGGAGAGTCCACAGAGAGGCAAGTAAACTCCCATTTATTCATTTTTTCAGCAAATATTATTGAGCCTACTCTCTGCTAGGCACTGGATTGATCATTGATAATTAAAAGGTGCCTGCTGTCAAGGAATTCTAGTAGGGAAGATGGGCTTATAAATACATAACTACAATTGGGACTGGTTACCATTATGTCCCAACTTAAGGTAGCACCGTGTGTCAGAATAAAACGGTGCTTTATAAGGTTTTCAATGGCTAGTTTTTAGTTGATAGGTCTTCTGAGGCACTTCAGGGTGGACTCAAACCATCAGCCTTTTAGCTAGTAACCAAGTGCACTAACTGCACTACCCCATATGTTGTTGTTATTGTGTGCCGTCGAGTTGTTTGCGACTCATAGCGACCCTATGTACAACAGCCCTAAACCCTGCTCTATCCTGTGCCAACCTCACTATCTCCAACACACCCACCTCGATTACCTCAATCACTGAATCAGTCCACCT